TGACATATTCAACTCTCTTGCTTTCCCCTGTCTATGCATCACTGTCTCCATCCTCCTGTCCCTCTTCTGCCAGTATCTCTCTGCTTGATAAGCTCAGTGCATCCCTGATTCTGCTGCACCCAGCACTTATTCAGCTAACTGAATAAATGAGTGGCTCTTACCCTGGTGCAGGTCACCTTTGGGACCACTCACTAGCTCCCATCCCATGGGGTCTTCCTCAGTGCAAAGGAAATTCCTTGTGAGCAGCCCTCTTCATTTTATCATTTTATAAACTGCTCTGTGGACTGCAGCTTCTGCTTGTTTATCTCTGGGTTTCACACATACTTTTGATCTTTCAACTGTTTTTTTTTTTACTTTTAAATTTCAAAAGTTCTACATTATTCTGGTAAAAACAAAAGTAAAGAAAACCTCCAATAGTACACAAAAAAATAAAAAAATAAGTGTCCTCAGTCCTTTCCTCCAGTTTATCAGATTATTTCCATATCTTTTCAGCTATTTTTTTCTGTACAAACATTGATATCTATATAGTCATTTTTAATATTTAAAAACAAATGATACTGTCATATACTTCTGCCGTTTGCTTTTTCACTTATTTTCTGTAACAACTCACAAAAGACATCTTTTTTTACTACTATAAATAATGCTGTAATGAGGCACCTTTTCATATGTGTGCATACTTTGCATGGCTTTATAGTGTTTCTGTGGGACAATATCATAAAATTTCTTGGCCAAAGGGTATGCACATTTTAGTATTTGGGATATTGCCATATTGCCCTCCAGAAAGATTATACCAAAGTAGACTCCACCAGCACTATGTGAGAGCTTCATATCCTAAATTTTATCCCTAGCCCACATTTCCCTTCTAAATTTGTACATCCATCTTATACCTGATATTTCCCCTTGGTTGTCTGAAGACATCTAAGTATGTCCAAAATAAAGTGCCTATTCCTCTTCAACTTTCCCCATTTCCGGGTATGGCAGGTCTGTCCTTCTAGTTGCCCTGGTCAAAACCTTGGAGCCATCCTTGATTCCCCTCTTTCCCTCACAACCCCACCAATAAATCCTACCTTCAAAAATGTTTCCAGAATCCTACCATTTTATATAACCTCTACTCCTACTGCCAGGCCTGAGCCACCATACCCTCCCACCTGCATTACAGCCAGAGTCCCTGCCCTGGGCCCCACTTCAGCCTCTGACCCTCCTCTGTGACTTCTTCCAGCAGCCAGAGAGATTCCCTTAAAACATGAATCAGATCATGTTCCTCCTCCACTTGAAACCTTCCAAGTGCCCTCCATTTCTCCCAGAGTAAAAGCCCCAACAGGACCAGGTCACTGTTAACCTGTCTTCTCCAAGTGTGTGGCACCCCCCCCCCCGCCAGTCTCTTAGCTCCTAGCACACAGCCCCCTTGAAATCCTCCAATTTATCAGAACTGCTCCTGCCTCAGAGCCTTTGTACTGCCCATTCCCTGTGCCTAGAATCCTCTCCCCCAGATATCCCTAAACAACTTACTCTCTCACTTCCTTTGAGACTGCTCAAATGTCACCTTCAGCAGCCAACTGATTTAAAATCTAACCCCACCCAGGAACTCCTTTACCCTACATTTTTTTTTCCATTACTAGAGATCAAACCCAAAACCTCATGCTTGTTAGGCAAACACTGTACCACAGAGCTACATCCTCATCCCCTACCCTACTTATTTACTTATTTTCATTTCCTTTCATCTTCTAATACAATACACAATTCTCCTCGTATGTTCTTGATTATTGCAGCATCTCTTTCCATTAGAATTTAAGCTCCATGATCACAGGGGATTTTGGTGAGTTTTGTATATGGGTGATTCTCAGGACTCTTGAACAGTGCCTTGTGTACAGTATGTGCTCAATAAATATTTGTTGAATAAGCAAAATAGCAGAATAAAGGTTTTGGTGTCTTCAGTTCACACAGGCCTAAGTGTGCCTCCTCCCTCAGATAAGGGTCAGAGGGCAAGTCTCCTGACAGCTGTCCTCACCAAGCACTGCACTTGCCTGTGGGGTGCCATGGGATAAGATGACCCTTGGGACTTAGTCCACAGTGAAATGAATACACGGTAAAATCCCATAAATACAATTGTGGAAAAATAACTCCAAATAATGCCATACTATCCAGGGTTACAAAGAGGCCCAGCAACCTTGTAGTCTATGGTGTAGTCTGTGTGGTCTGGACGTCTTCCCCACATGGTCCCAGAGTCTTGGCTTTGCCAAAGCTGCTCTCTTGAGAGAGGCAGCCTTCACTTTTCCTCCGGATGTGTCTGGACTTGGGTCCAGGACCCTCTGAAGTGAGCTCAGCTGGGTTCCACATACCTTGAAAGCACCAGGGGCATGCCCTTAGACAAAGAGCCTCTGTGGCCACCAGGATCTGTAGAGGCCAGGTTGGGGGCAGTTTGGGGGAGAGGGGACTCTAGCTCAGGCCCCTCAGGCAGTGTTTATTTGTATCAGGTAGTTGACATCTGTTGTTTCAGCCTATTCCAGAGATGATGGTAGCTCCTGATTAAGTCACAGATAAAGTGACTTGTTCAAATTCTCACTGCAGGACACTGCAGAGCCCAGATTTAAACAGCACTCACAACCCCCTGTGCCCTGGGATGGAGGCAGTAAAGACACAGAGGGGCAGAGTAAACCTCTGTTTCACCTACTCAGATTTGCTGTTTCATGGGGGAGGGTTAAGGCAGGGCCAGCCCTGAAGCCACTTAGAGCCTGACCATCCTGAAAGATGGCATTCTTGGGTTGATCATCCCCTCCCCCCCACCAGGGCTTCCAGAGACAGTTGGGGGTGGTGAGATGCCTGAAACTCCGTCATTGGGCAAGTGTGGGCCCTCCGTCACCCCAAACTAAGCCTGCCACAGAGCGGATGAGTCACCAGGATCTCAGGGCATCTTACAGAGGTAACTGAGAACTGGGTTTTAAGGAGAGTCATTTAGGCACCTGGCCAGGGCTAAGCCCACACAGGGGAGTTGAGGGCAGAGGGAGCCAAATCCAGCAACTTTGTGGTTCAGTACAAAGCCTCTTGCTGTGTTTTCCCCACCCCCAGCCCTTCCACACACAGATGTACAGTCATAGCACTCAGACTGACATCCAGCAGAAGGAAGCTGTGTCTCCTAGCCTGGGAGAGAGAAGAAGTGCAGAGAGAAGGGAGGGGGAGAGGGCTGGAGTGAGTTCAGGGCTGATCTGCAGGTCAGCACAGAGCAGCGGCCTACTTGCTCTGAGCAAGGTGTGGCCTAGCCCTTTTTTCTGGCAAAACTTGATTGCATGGGCCAGCTCTGAGTCAGCCCTGCCCATCCTGCCCAACAACTCCAGGCCAGCGGAGGAGGCTTCTAAAGGGGTTTGAGGTGCGTTTAGGGTAAGCAAGGGCAGAGGTAGTGCCACCACAGGCATCTCTGGCAGAGGGAAAGTCCAAGGTCACAGATAATGTTCTCAGAGACAAAAAATAGGAATGATGATTGAGATGAAGCCATGCCAACTACTGGTGTCAGCATTTCACTGTGTCTGCCTGGGAAGAGGGTTTGGGCTTGAGGAGTTCTGGCTTGCTGAGGAGAGGGGCTAGTAGGCCCCGGGGGTGTCAGAGATCCAGGTGGGAGGCTCCAAGGCTCAAAGAGTTTCTGGGAAGAGACCTGGGCCTTGGAGAGGGGAGGTAAGGGCAGAGAAGGGAACCCACCCCCCATCCTCTCTGCCCCCAGGCTGGAGGTCCAAAGTGAGGCCTGCCAGTGTGAAACTTGCTCATCCCTCAAAAAACATCAAATATGTCCCTGAGTTTGTAGAAGGGAAATTAAGGAGGGTTCTGAAAACCTGCCCAGGGCAGCAGGACTGGAGTTGAATGTCAGATCAGGAGCCAGCCCCACTCTGTGTTTGTGTGGTGGGGGGAGGGGGCATGCCTAGCTCAGGGGCTCTCTAAAGTCCTGACCCTCTCAGCTCTCAGAATCTGAAGGCTGTCTTTCAGTTCTTTCACACCCCTTACTTAGGCCTGATTGTGCCCAGAAGAAATGGGGTTGAGGTGAGCCAGGTCTCCTCTGGGAGAGATCACTAGCTTCTGCCAGACTCTCACCTTGACTTTATCAGCCCAGATAGCTTCACTGGGGGACCTAGCACACCTCCTCCTCATTTAAGAAAGCTGTCTCCAGTTTCTTCCCAACCTGAGCCCAGCTCTCCCCCAGGGACTTCCAAGTGGGCAGTGGTGGGCAGCAGGATCCCTGGACCTTCCCCAGGAATATCTGAGCACCCTGTAAGGAGTTTCTGGGTCTTGGGCATTGAAGGGTTGATGTTTATATAGGGGTCTCTTGCTCAGATAAGCCCCTAAGGAGGCCGTCGGAAGAAGGGACCTTGGAGGTCCTCCCCACTCCGCTGCACAGATTACTGGGACTTTTGGGATGTGGGGGACCCAATGGCACACTCCCTGCACCTGTTGGCCACTTTCTCCCACCCCTTATGAAGCACACTCCTGAAGTCAGAAACCTCCCAGCAAGTGGGAAGGGCCTTCCCGTGGACAGGGTCTAGGTATTGCTTCCCAAAGACCGCCGAGTCCGTGGCCCCGTGCATTCATATCGCAAAAGGGAAAGCAGGTACTGGGGGAGCTGTCGCTCATGCCTAGACGCCGTGCCTCTCTTTCGCAGCAACTCGGCTGGGTGTCTGACTTTTAAGTGATCCCTTCCCCGGGATGAGGCCGGATTCTTTCCGGCCTCATCCCGATCCGGGCGAGGCTCCCACTGGCAGGGCGTGGGGCTGGCTGTCCGCGCTAATGACAGGGCCCGCGGCCTGTGGGTGGCAGCAGCGGAGGAAGCGGGAGGGATCTGACTATTTCGGGACGAGGCACACCCACTGGCCGGGGCCGGAGTTGGCCCGTCTTCCCGGCCCCTGGCTCTGCCTCCTTCCCGATCCCCAGGAGGGGGCGGGGAGGGACGCGGGTTGGCCGATCCGGAGGGCGGGGGCGCTGGCCTAGGGGGCGGGGCGGTGTCCCGGGCCCACCCCCGTCCTCCACCCACCTCAGTCCATTCTGGTCCCTACACCGCACCGTGCTCGGACCCGGGGCCGCCTGCGCCGTCGCTGCTCACGTGAGTCCCGCGGTGCCCCCTCCCGCCGCGCTGCCGGAGGGGCATGGACTCGGGCCGGGACTTCCTGACCCTGCATGGTGAGTGTCGGGCCCGCGCGAGCGGGGAGATCCTGCAGGGGCCCACGCGGGGAAAGCCATTCCCCGCACTGGGTAGGGGATCCCAGCTCCTTCAGCCGCCTCCGCAAGGCCCCCGGACGGCTCCTTGCCGGCTTTGCTGGGCTGGAGGAAATCTCAGCCCGCGGTTCCCAAATAGGAACCCTGGGTGTTCCAGGCTTGTCCCCAGAGCTGGCCCGGGAGGTCGGGGACGGTGCGTGTCAGAAGACTTCTTCTCCCTCGGGGACTCCCCCTTGTCCCGGTCTGTATTCCACCGGTTCAGATCGCATGAAGGGACCGAGGGGGAAAGGAAGCAGCATCCACGAACCAATCGACTCTTCTCTGCCCGGTGCAACCCATCCTTAGAGGTTCCTCAAAGTCCAGGCGTGCCTGGACCGCGTCAGGCCGCGCGGGTGTGGCACGGTGAGGGTGTCAGGGGGTGGGGCGAGGAGGTGCCAAGTTTGGCTGAGATCGGGCCCTGCAGCCTTAACTGCCCAGCGCAGAAATCGTAGTCAGCGATCCTCGGGCTTGGAGGAGCAGTCTGATCTCCGCATCGGCGCACCCTCCCGGTGAGGGAGAGCCAGGTCTCAGCTCCAGCCGCCGGCCGCTCCATCCTTTGTCCAGCGAGCTTTGTTTTCTGTCATCTGGGCCAACTACTCTCCCTATCACTGTCCTTCCTGCAAAGAGGGGAATCTGGACTCCTGACGGCAAGTTCTGGAGGCCTCTGGGAGGGGAGGAGAGCAACTTAGCTTCTTTTTGTTTCAGGTGGGGAACTAACCCACATTTGGGGGGGCCTTTGTACTCCTGTTCTCCCAGAGCATGTACCAGCTCAGCAAACCCTGCTCCTCTCACACCAATCACTGCTCAATTATATATTCCTCTCTTTTTCAGTGCCCTTGGAGTTGGAGTCTTTAGGTTCCACGACCCATCCATCTAAACCATTCAAAGATGGTAAACAGTCTTCCGTCCCTCTACTCCAGTCCCCCGAGAGTTGCAGCCAGCAGTCAGCCCCCAATCTGTTTTGAGTTTCCCTGTTGGCCCAGACCTGGTCCCCAGAGTCCATAGAAACCAATAGCCACAGTTTCTCAAAGCCATCTTGTCTAGCTGGGTCATGGAATCCCTGCCCCTTCCTCTGTTCCCTCTCTCCTCCCCCAGGCCAGAGGTGTCCTGAGTGCTCCTGGCAGACTGGTGGGAAGGGACCCAGGGCCGCCTGCACTGGACAGTTCTGTGTTCTCTCTTACCACCCATTAGCTAGTGCTGTATACCCTGTGGACTGCCACCCATTCTCTACCCACCTCACACTAAGACCTTCTTAAAGACCTCTGGTTGTCTCTGACACAGCAGCAGCCTAGCTCCTGTTGGAATGGCCTCCATCCCTGCTATCTTGTGTCTTTGCCCAGCATTTCTCCCGGGGGGCAGTCCTGGTATCTTTTCCAGCAACAAAGACACGCAGAGGGTCAGTCAGAGGCTCCCAGACTGGTGGCATGGGTTTGGCCACCCTGGCTCATCCTGTTTGGGACCAGTCTTCTGAATGCATGAGTCAGTCCAGCCCTTCTTCCAAGGATGGCATAATACCGTGACTCCAAACTGTCTTCCCTTAAAGCTCCACCACTTCTAGTTCAGCATCCCAAGTAACCTCCATTAACTGCGTTCTGTCCACATTGCAAACAAGATGGGGAAGCAAGACCTGTTAAGGAGAATTGATGGTGAGAAGGGTGGTCACTGTACCCCATGCTGTTCCAGGTTGTTGACACTTTCATTGGAGAGTTTGCATCCCCTTTACAGTGTGTATCACAGCATTAGATGTGCTGCTGGACCAAATTTCTAGTGTGGAAAGTTAGGGGTCTGCAGCAGGAATGCCCTCTGAGTTCCCTCCATTTGCCTGGCTCACCTAGATATGAAATGTCCCTTTTTTCCCAGAAGCAGTTTACACAAAGGCATCAATTCTGGAAGGAAAATACCTGAGTTTGGCTTGGCTTCTTCAGAAAATCCTTTAATTACCCCATCTGTAAAGTGGGGGATAGTATACCACCTGCCTCGTATGGTTGTTGTAAAGATCGAATGAGGCATTATCTATAAGGCAGTTAGAACAGCACCTGGTACTCAGTGCTATGGTGTGTTTCCGCAGGATGACCTTCCCCAAGTTGCCAGTTCCAGTGAGTTGCACCCCCAAATTGCCATGTCCAGTCAGTTGTTGTCTATACTTCTTTGGGAGATGATGAGGCACCATAAGGTCATCCCTAGCTAAGGAAAGTATGTCCAGAACTGAATGCAAGCTCTTTCTGCTGCCTCTGAAGCCCTCCAACTAATGTCACAGTTCCCATCCTTTTCTTCTCACCCTGATTTTTCCACTGACTTTATTTTAGCTATACCTGGACTAGCTTCTTCAGCATGTTCCCAGATGTGCTGAAAGGGCATGACTCCTGAGGTTCCCCTTCACTGCACACATTCACCTCCACTAACTTTTCCTACACCTGAGCTCTCCTGTCTCACTGCAAGGACAGGCATTTGTAAAAGTGGAAGGTAGAGGGGCTTCATCTTGGTCCCAGGAGATCTGGACTCAAATTCTAGCTTTGCTTCTATTTGCTATATGACCCTTTGTCTCTCTGGGATCATTTTCTCATCCATGGGGTGGATAACAATGCATATTTCACAGGGGATGTCATAAGAATAAAATCATGCATCGGGAGTTCTAGGTTGCCTAAAAAGCAACCTCTTGGTACCCCAGAGCAAGTTGGGGTGACCAGCTCACCTTAGCCACTCCTCAGTTATGTTTCAAAGCTGTCTATCCCTGGGGTTCCATACTCACATTACAGACACCCAGTTACTTACGCTGCTCTTAACCTTTTGGTGCCATAGGCCATTTTAGCAGTCAAGTAAAACCAGTACACCCTCTCAGGATCACGTTTTAAAGTACATAAAAATAAAGCACATAAGATTCAAAGGAAACAAATTATATGGAGGTGTGATTCTATCCACAGGTCCTTGGGAGGTCCTTCTTCCAGTAAAAAACCTCTGCATGGTCACTCTATGACACCAGCTACTGTTATACTCTTCTCCTCCCACTCCAAAGGAAGAATAGGTTTTTCTGTGTCCATATTTCAGTTCATTTGCACTAATGAAACTTGCTCATTATTTATTCTCTGTGGTGTGACTTAGGCAAGTCATTCTGCACTTCAGTCTGTTATTATTGCTGTGCTTTGCCAGTGACTCACTGTTGTTGCAGTGAGGCCAATCGGGAACTCTTCAGAGGCTGAAAGTAAAAAGAGGAGTGACTCAGGCCTCTGGGTGGCGTCCTGACCTTGGCACACAGTAGGGGTTCAATACATAATTGCTGGGTGAATGAAAGGGAAGTTGTGATGCGGGTTGAAAGGACCCACTGTTCCCAAGCACATTGGCAGCACAGTTTTGTACAAAGTTGCAGCCGTTCTCATCTATTCATCAAGACAGGCCTGCATTCAAGGCAAGCCTGCGTTAATGGGCTCTTTTAAAGTCAGCATTTTTTTTTTTTTCCAGAATGCCATTTGCATCTGGCTATACCTTGGGGATTACCCCACTCGGAGGGGGAAACTGGGAGAACGGATCCGCCTAAGGATCACAAGTGAGACAACAGCAAAATATGTCACAATGAACTCATTGAGTAACTGAGATACAATATTTGGCGAGCTCGGTTGCCTGGCCCCGCCCCATTCGATTCTCTGTGGCCCACACGATTCCCCTGAACCGCTCGGTTTCCCCCTCCCAGACCTGGTGTCCTCTGCCAGTGTCAGGGCTGGAGTTGGACTTCCCGGCTCAGCCCCACACTCCTCCCAGCCGCCAGAAGCCGAGGTTCCGCCCCTCCCTGGCTAGACACCGCCTCTCCAGTGAGGATCCTCCCCGTCTCGCTCCGCCCCTGGCCTGCTTCCTGGATGGGGGTTCTGCCTCCACGTCGCCTCCTGGGCGGTGGCTTCCTTGCTGGAACCCCGCCTTCTGGGCTTGCCTCTTCCCGCGTCCCAGATCGCCTTCACTTGGGGGGGCTTTGCCAAAGATGGGCTTCCTAGCCTGGCGCGGTGGTGCACGCCTGCAACCCCAGCGCCTAGGAAGGCTGAGGATCGCGAGTTCAAAGCCAGTCACGGCAAAAGCAAGGTGCTAAGCAACTCAGTGAGACCCTGTCTCTAAATAAAATACAAAATAGGGCTGGGGATGTGGCTCAGTGGTCAAGTGCCCCTGAGTTCAGTCCCCAGTACAAAAATAAATGAATAAATAAAAGATCGGCTTCCTGGGCTGAGTTGGTCCCACTGTGCCTCCTCAGCTCGACCCCTCCACCTGTCCTCCTGGGTTCGGGTCCCACCTCCTCCGCCTACATTCTGCTCTCGCCCCACCTACCAGGGGCATAGACCACGCCCCTCCCGGATTGGCCCCGCCCACCTGGGCTTGGCTCAGCTCCTTACGGCCACGCCCCTCCGAGCCCAGCCCCACCTCTTTGGTTTTAGTTCCGCCCCTGAAGGTTGGACTCTCAGTGATTCCTTCTGTTGGAGCCTGCAAGGCTTCTGAATCAGATTTCACGGTGGCAGAGGTACACTGTAAAGCGACATGCAGTGCCTGGGGGTCCCAAGCCGGAGATGGAGCCGGAGCCGCTCCAGGGAGCTGCAGGAGCAGAGCCTCAAGGTGGCGGCACTCAATGGCCAAAGGCTGGGTAAGGGACACCAAGAACATTGAGAGCTGTGGGGAATGGGAAAGCAGCTGGAACAGGACACAGACTACTTGTCCCTGAGCTTCCAGCCTTTGATTGCACTTGGAGCCTTTGCTTAATTCTGTGGGGGTGTTTGCCGTGGTGGCACGTGGGGATGAGTACTGTGGGGATTAGTTACCCTTCTGATCTAACTCAGCTCCTCCAAAGTTTTCCAACCCTTGTCACCCCCACCCCCTCCTGTGTATAAATTTCTGAGACATCACTGGAGATATGACCCAGTGTGTAATTGATTTGACTGTGTGATCCAATGAGATAGTCAAGACTGTGTGTAGGCCAGGTAGGTCCGTATGTGACAAGCGACAGTGGGTAACTCAATGGTGACTGAGTGATGAGTACCACATGTGGTACTCTGGGGACACTGTGTAGTGATGATGGTGTGTAATGCTGTGTAACCAAGTGTGTGACACTGTGGTGCCAGGGGTGTCTGCGTGTAACCAACTGTGACGGTGTATGATCTGTGATACTGTGCAACAGAGTGTGACTGTGTATGATAGATGTGACAGTGGGTGACCCAAGGTGACTGAGTGATTCTGTTATTCTGTGTTATGGTGTGTGCGTATGTGTATATCTTTTCTTTTCTCTTTTTGGATTTTCTGATGTTGATACTCTGTGGCTGTGTGACTCTGAGTGGTGGCTGCATAAAATAATGTTTCGTAGCACTGACCCTGTGGCCTGCTCCTGAGTCCTGACTTCACCATGCAACTTCCTGCAAGCTCAGTTTCCTCATCTATAAAATGAGGCTAATGATACTGCCTTCCTCTTAGGATTGTTGGGGGGATTATATACTCGTGCCAAGAACAGTATCTTATTCAAATATTAACTGTTATTATGGTGGCTGCTATTATTACTGCTATGATAATGATGTTCTAATTCTGTATATTATGTGGCTGTATGTAACATGCAACTCCATGTGACAATGTATAGTTTGCTGGGGGGGGGTGGGAAAGTGTATCATGTGTATGACTCATTGTGTCTTTGATGTTGTATCTGGTGGTGTGATAGTGTATCTGTGTGGCTGTGTCTCAGTGTACTGCTATGGATTCCAGGCCCAGTGTGTCTTCAATATGTATCATCCTAGGTACATGGGCAGGACTCATAGCACCCCCTGGGTTCCCAGTGGCACCTGCAGCACCATCTGTGCCTTCTATATGCCACCTCCTTGAGACAACTGGCCTGGGCAGGTTAGTGAAGCCACAGGGTGAACCCAAGGCCCCTGAGCTCAGTGCTCCTCCTGGTTTTCTTACAGGCAGAGAAGGTGCACAGCTGAGTGAGTTGGGCTTGGTGAGGGGTGCCACATGCTTCCTGTGTGCTAAAGGAGCAAGGGAGGTGGGGCATAAGCCCAGAGGGTACCCACTGAGGCTAAGAGATGGAGATACCTGCCTAGATTTCCCAAGGGCCCAGAAGGCAGTGACTGTGATCTTTCTGGAATTATCAAGGCCCACCTTGGGACTGAGTTCTCCCTCCTGGCAGCTGTGTCTGCAACTGGGGACTTATCTCTGCCTGACTGCGGACAGGGCCATAGCCTGGCTCCAGGACAGGATGAGCATGTCATCTCTTCATGGTGTTTTCCAGAATAGGAGGGTGGGGCTCACCTTCTACTTCCTGACAACCCCCCATACCCATCTGATCTATTAGCGGTGGCTTGCCCTGATGTGTACCCAGCTTAGGGAGTGGGGTACTGGCAGATGGTAAGGAGGTGATCCTTTCAGCTGTAGATAGAACAGCCTTAGATAGAAGAGTGAAATCTCCCAGCAGAGGGCAGAGGTGGCTGTCTCCTCCGACACCCTGGGAACTCCCTTACTCTCCCTCTTGTGTTTGGCTTGTCATATACAGCCCGTGGTTTGGAACATTCTGTAGAAGCCCCTTTCTCCTCCACTAGCCTCCCCTTGGGTTGGAGAGGAACTTCTCATGCTAAGGCACAGTGTTTTCTGGAAGTGACTGGACAGACTGGACAGGTCTGGGAAGTCACGTTAGACTGTTGTTTCTGAAGAAGCCCAGGGATGCCTCCCCCATCCAGCACTGCTCTCACCTAGGGCTCATGGGGGAACAGAGGGACAGAGAGAGGAGGAGTTGCCTAACACCATAGGGGAGTGGGAGTGAATGTTAGCACAGGACTCGGTCCCTACTGGAGGCAGGAGCTTGGGAGGGACAGAGAACGTGTGGGTGGCTGAGACCTGGGGAAGTTGTTCAGAAGGCTCTGCAGGCCCTGCAGATGTGTGGGAAGGGCTACCTAGGGGCATGGGACATGGATAAAGTGGGAGAGGATGTCAGCAATGGTGAATCTGGGCTCAGAAAATAAAAGTCTATGCCTTGATGAGGGCTACCCAACATAGGCCTAGGCACAAGTCCCTCATCAGACTGGACCTTTGGGGTCCCTGATGCCACCACTCTGTTGGAGTAGCAGTACAAAGATGGATGAAAGGCCACATAGTTTAGGAAGAAGTGAGGTAGCCAATCAACTTTGAACAGAGATGGCTGCTGAACTCCACGTGCACACACACATACACACACACACACACACGTACAGATGTAACTATATATTAAACTGATGGGTTATTAAGGTGTGGGTTGCAGATCTATTTCATCACAGTTGGCACAGGATCTGCTTGGGACTGAGGGCTTCTGAGAAACCAGGCTTGGTGTCCCCATAGTGCCTCCTGTCAGGACCTGTAGGACAGAGGGCATTGCATCTTTGAGAACCTGTGCTTCAGGCCAGCCTGCATCTCTGAGAGCAGTGCAAGAGTTGAGCAGAAGGTGGGCCAGGCCACCAGGGTTCTGGGTCCTCCCTGTGGGCTCTGCACGAGTCCTTCTGAAGGGACTGCTCTGTGCTTTGTTTCTGTACCTCCAGGGGTCCCAGACCCAGGGCCCTCAGCAATGGGGGTGGAGCAGAAAGGACAAGGGCATCCCAACAGGCCAGACACAGGCCACAGTGGGCTTATCATTCTCTTATGGGGAAAAGGTCAGAGACCTGCTCAAGCAGACTCTAGTCAGGGGTCAGGGTAGCAGGGAAGAGGGTAGCAAGTATAGGCACAAGGGTCCTACATTGACCACAGTGTCCACACCAAGAACTACATTGTGGTTGTCTCTACAGACCTGGGCTTCCTCTCACTTGAAGTTAGAGCTCCTGTATGAGATGGATGGTATTATTATCCCATTTTATAGATGGGAAAGCAGAGGCCCAGCCACGTGAAGTCACTTGTTCAGGTCACACAGGGGTCAGGTAGGGTGCCCAAACCCAGGCACTAATTATCCTAGGGCCACTGGAGTTGAGAGGTTGTTTGGCTCCACGGTGCCCTGGGGTCCATTTCCATCTGTGTCTGCCCTCGCTCCCTGCTGTATGGCCTGATCTTTTGATCCCAGATTCTTTTGGTCCAATCTAATCCCTACAGGTGACCAGGAAGGGCCCATCATTTCCTAAGGTTCTGTTCCTCCAGGAACTAGTGATTCTTGAATTAGCTGCCCACCCTTTGCCCAGTCAGCCATGGGGGACAGATCACAGTGTATGGGTATGGTCTTGGGTGGGCAGGAGACCTGTGGTTTGCATGACTGCCTCAGCTGCTGTTGGAGGTGACTCCCGCCCGGAGGAGACAGGCACTGGGGGTAGGCTGGAGTGGGGGATAAGGTGGGTAAAGAGAATTGATGAGGAGGCTGGAGAAACGTGGGCTGAGAGGGTCCAGAGGTGGGCACGGCCAGTGTGGAGCCAACGGCAGCAGGGACCCTGGTGGAGGAGGTGATACCTTACTGGTGTTGACCCCTCAGGCCTGCAGGATGACAAGGACCTACAGGCCCTGCTGAAGGGCAGCCAGCTCCTGAAGGTGAAGTCCAGCTCATGGCGAAGAGAGCGCTTCTACAAGTTGCAGGAGGACTGTAAGACCATCTGGCAGGAGTCTCGCAAGGTCATGAGGTCCCCAGAGTCCCAGCTGTGTGAGTATCCTGGGCCACAGGGGAGGGCGCAGAGTATGGATGGGGTTCAGTGGGAGGAGCCAGTTAAATCACTTGTAGAGAATCTGAGGTCTTGTCTGGGTTGGAGAGGGCAACTGGGTAATCAGGACCACATGCTAGAGTTCCTCGGGGTGGGGACGCATAACCAAGACCAGAGAAGGGCAGAGCCAGGCTCAGCAGCAGGGAGGGAGCTGGACAGGTATCCTCCAAGTGTGGGAAGGAGGGAAAGTTGGGTAAAGAGTTAGCATTCCAGGTGTGGTAGTTCAAAAGACAAGCCCAAAGTCCGGGAGACAGATAAGGCCCTTCCGGGTATCAGAGCCCAGGGTGTGAGGTGGGGCCACAGGAGGCAGATCCTCTGAACCTGGAGCCATAAGAAGTTGGGGTGGAGCAGGGCTAGGATACACAGAGAAAGGCCACTACTGGGGCACTCCCTCAAGGAGGATGTGGGTGTGAAGGCTTTCTGGAAGCTTCTGAAAAGGCCTAGGAACCCAAGACTTGGACAGCAGATTCTGTAAAATGAGATGTTCTTGTCTACATTTGTACTTAGTGGAGAAAATGTTAGGTGAATTCCACCCAATAGAACCATCTACAATGAAGGAAATGTTATCTGTACTATCCATTATGGCAGCCACCAGCCACGGGTGGCCGTTGAGCCCATGAAGCATAGCTAGTGTGACACTAGGAACTGAGTCTTAAATCGTATTTCATTTTACCTAATTTATATTTAAATATCCACAGGTAGATCTAGTGGCTACTCAATTGGATAGTGCAGATAGATCATTCCAGTCTCTGGGTGTACGGATGGGGTCACTGGCAAGTCTGGAGAGAGCAAGACTAGACTTGGTGACAAGTCACAACTAGGGGAAGAATAGAAGGAAGGAGAGGTTCCACCCACGGAGAGGGCTTCTAGTAGGGTGCCTTTAGGGTGTGAGTCATGCAGGTCTCTGAGTAGGGCAGGGCAGGGTCTGAGGGGGATCGAGCTCTTGTGTGTTCTCAAAAACCTCCCTGAGCCTGTGTCTGCCCCAGCCCAGCCTGCTGCTTTCCAGTACGGGAGTGACACCCTGACCTTGCCTCTATGGCGCCAGACAGGCTCCTTCACTGGGCTCCTGCCCTGATACAGGGTTTCCTGTTAGAGGCTAGTGGGGAGTGGAGTGTGGTGGGAACAGGGATCTTACACCGAGAGCCCTGGGAATTCCTTGAACCCCGCCACCCCCACCTGCCAATACACTTACATGACTCCCAGTGTTGCCTAGAGCTTGGTGGGGAGCCTGTGGGACAGAGGTCAGGTAGAGGAGTAAGAGACACAGGTCCTTCCAGCAGGAACCCGCATCTGGGCTGGTGAGAACAGAATCTCATACTGGGACAGCCATGAGCCAAAAGGGCAGGAACAGCATTCAGGCAGGTGACCCCGTGTGAGCAAAGGTGCACAGGTGAGTCTGAGGGGCTGTGCCCTGAGAGGAGGTGCCGCTGGAGTCACAGGGTCAGGAGGACAGGTGCTCTTGGGTAAGGAGCATGGCCCAAAGAGGCTTTCGTCCAGGTCAGACACACCAGACAGGCCTCCTGCTGAGCATGCCCCTTGGTGCTCCCTTCTCTGGGTGAGCAGTGGGATTGCTGTTCTTACCTGTACTTGACCCCTGGGGAAACTGAGGCCAGGCAATGGAGGGCTGGCGCATCTCCCATTTCTCTTTGGCTCTGGTTTCTGCTCTCTGTCTCCCTGTGGTCACTGGTTCTCAGCAGAGGGTGTTATCAGCAGTGGGGACAGCTGGACCTTATCTCTGGGCTTGGGGGGTTTCCATGCTGTCGGCTTCCTGTTTGCAATCCCAGCTGGGGGCAGCTGCAGCTATACCTGCTGTGGGGCCTCATGGGGAACCTAAGGATTAAGCAGGGGTATGCTCTGCACCCCAGATGGCTGGGGCTCACATGTCCCCATTCCTCAGAGCCTGTGGCCAGGGTTAGGTACATGCCACACAATGTGGTCGGCAGGTGGCTAGGAGGCCCCTGACACTCAGGGTGGTGTTGGGCTCAGGGAAGGACAGGCAGGCCTTCCGTCAGAGGCATTCTAGGACCCAGCACAGTTGGATGAGTGTGGCTCAGGATGGGTGTGTGGCAGGATCCTGCCTGGATCCTGCTGCTGAGAGGCTCAGCATGTGCCTGTCTAGTGGGACTGGTTTTCTGTGGGGCCAGTGGCATGGCAGGTACCCAGGGTCTTGTCTCCCCCTGAAGTTTGGAAGGCTAGGCTCTGACAGAGCTCCCTCTGCTCCTGAGGGCTGAATTTTGTAATCTCTCAGACCCTCCTGGACACACTTCATCTTGCCTCTTGGGACTCTGGAGGGCAGGGCCTTCCTGCAGCCCTCAGAACACGAGCAGACACAGGACAAGGCTTTGATACACTTCTGTCCCTGTCTTTGGCCCTCTGTCCCCAAACTCCAGGTCAGGGCTGACTGACAGCCCCAGTCTCCTAAATGGTCAGGAGAGGGGCCTGGAAGCTCTCATAGTAGTGGGGGAAAGGACAGGCCCAAAGTCCAGTACAATCAGGAAGGTACGCGACCCCTCCCTCTCACAGGTGTCAAGCGCCAGGGTGGCCTCCCTCTCCCCATCCCAAAGACCCCTGTCCTACCCCAGTCCTCTCCCCAGGGCCTACTCCTTGCATTGCCAAGTTGGGGGTTCTGGGGTCCCACTTGCCCTTCCCCCTCTGAGATCTCTGTCTCCATCTCTCTGTGCATTTCCACTTTGCCCACTGTGGCTGTCTCAGGCTGTCTCTACCTCAGTTTGTCTTTCTCCCACTTTTTGTCCCTCCTCTGCCCTCCTGTCCTCGTCCCTTCCTTCTCTCTGGACTCAAGGCCTCAACTCTGGTCCTGGTGGCGTCTCAAAGCAGTCCCCCCCCCCACTGCAATCTTGATCACATCAGAGGCAGGGACTGACCTCACGGCATGCTCTGCCTCCGCTACCACTGTACCCCTCTTGTAGTCTCCATCGAGGACATTCAGGAGGTACGGATGGGGCACCGCACAGAGGGACTGGAGAAGTTTGCCCGAGATGTGCCCGAGGATCGCTGCTTCTCCATTGTCTTCAAGGACCAGCGCAACACACTAGACCTCATCGCCCCGACACCCGCCGACGCCCAACACTGGGTACAGGGTCTACGCAAGATCATCCACCACTCGGGCTCCATGGATCAGCGACAGAAGCTGCAGCAGTATCCTCTTGGTGGCTGTGAGTCCAGGCCTGGCCTGTGGACAGGCTGTAGTTGTCCCTGGGCAGCCTGGGCATGGAAGATGGCTTAGTCAGTTGTGGCTGCTGTAACTAAATAGCATAGTTTGAGTGGCTTAAACAACAGAAGTTTATTTTCTATCTGAAAGCTGTAAGTTGGAGGTCAAGGGGGCCAGTATGGTCGAGGCCTGGGGAGGGCCCTCTCCGTGTTTGCAGATGTCTGCCTTGGCAGTGCGTTCTCACGTGGCAGGAAGGAGACTAAGGCTCTCTGGTGTCTCTCCTGTAAGGGTACTAATGCCATCTTGAGGGCTTCACCCTTATGACCTTATCTAAACGAATTACTTCCCATCTCCAAATACCATCACACTGGAGGTCAGGGTTCAACATATGACGTTTGTTGTCTAAATGTCAATTTGGTCTATAGCAGAAGGGAATAAGGGAAGGTGCATGGAGCCTCCTTTGGTCTATCTGGCCCAAGGCCAGACAGAATTGGAGCCCCTGACACTCCCTAGAGCCCCTCTGTAAAGCGTGGAAATGGGAGATCGGGAAGGCTCAGGGAAGCAGCTTAAATCAGTGGAAGACTTCGAGTGGGGAGTTCTAATCATGTTTTCTAGAGTTTCTACCATACTTATCACCTCTGGGAATTGAGAGACTGTGGTACCTACCTGTGCCCTGTTGTAGGCAGTGGTCAGGTTCCCCTGGGCCTGGTGTTCAAGCCAGCTGTGGGCTTAAAGTAACTTCAAAATCTAGTTGCACAACAACATACTAGTGTATGATCCAAAGTGCTCAGGCTTCTGTTCACATAAGGATCTAGGTAGAACCAGTTCAGCCTCCCCGCTTTTTAATGACAACTTTATTGATGCATAATTCACAATCCATGCAATTAACCTTTAACACGCTGAACCTGATTCCGTGCTTTTTAGTATATTCACAGTTCCGCAACCATCCTCACAATCAATTCTAGAACATTTTTATCACTTCAAAAAAGAAACCCTGTACTCTTTATCTGCCACTTCCCATTTCCCCTCAGCTCCAGGGGAAGACAGCCACTGATCTACTTCCTGTCTCTATTTGCCTGTTCTGGACATGGCATATAAGTGGAATCACACAGTCTTTTGAGACTAGCTTCTTTTATCTAGCATAATTATGTTTTCAACTTGCATCCATGTTGTAGCATGTATCCATAGTTCATTCTAGCTAATATTCCATTGTATGGATATGCCATGCTTTATTTATCCATTCATCAATTGATGGATATTTAAGTTATTTCCACTTTGTGGCTTTTATCTAATTTGCTCTTCACATGGTAGAATAAGTTTTGTGTGGACATATGTTTTCATTTCTCTCAAGTGAATTCTATATTTAACCTTCTAAGGAACTGCCGAACTGTTTGCCAAAGAGGTTGCACTAATTTACATTCTCACTAGCAGTATGTAAGGGTCTCAGTTAATCACATCCTTGACAACACTTGTCATTTGAACTTTGTGATCCTTCCTTTTCATAGCTGATTTTTTTTTTTTTTTTTGGCATTGAACCCAGGGTCACTTAACCACTGAGCCACATCCCCAGTCTCCTTTTGTATTTTATTTAGAGACAGGGTCTCACTGAGTTGCTTAGGGCCTCACTTTAGTATATTCACATGCTCAGGATTCCCCTATCTCAGCCTCCTGAGCCGCTGAGATTACAGCTGTGCACCACCACACCCATCCGTGTTAAATGTTTTCTTAGAGATACTCTTGTGGATATGAAGTAGTATCTTATTATGGTTTTCTTTGCAATTCCTTGATGGCAAATAATGTCCAGCATCTTTACATGTTTATTGGCCGTTATGTTTCTTCTTTGGAGAAATATCTACTCAAATCCTTTGCCCATTTTTATTGTTGATAAGCTCTTTTTAAATGGATCTACTTATTTATTTATTTATTTTGGTACTGGGGATTTAACCCAGGGGCACTTTACCACTGAGCCACATCCCTAGCCCTTTTTAATTTTTTTTTATTTTGAGACAGGGTCTCACTAAATTGCTGAGAGACTCACTAGGTTACTGAGACTGGCCTTGAACTTGGAATCCTCCTGCCTTAGACACCAGAGTCACTAGGATTACAGGCATGCCTCTAGACCTGGCTATTTATTTTATCTTACTTATTTATTTTTAATGTATATTTTTAGTTGTTGATGGACCTTTATTTTATTCATTTATGTATATGCAGTGCCGAGAATCAAACCCAGTGTGTCACACATGCTAGTCAAGGGCTCTATGATAAAATACCCATAATGTAATACACATACCCTCTTAATCATTTTAAAGTGTACAGTTCAGTAGTGCTAAGTATATTCACATTGCTGCATAAGCAGCTTCCAGAGCTCTTTTTGTTTTGCAAAACTGAAACTCTATATCCTTTAAATGAAAACTCCTCATTCTTCCCCTACCCCCACTCCTATCCTGTCCCTGGCAATCACCATTCTATTTTCTGTTTCCATGAATCTGTCTACCCTAGGTTTCTCATATATAAGTTGGGATCAGACAATTTTTGTCTTTTTATGACTGATTTATATCACTTAACATAATGATCTTAAGTTTCATTCATATTATAGAATGTGCTAGAATGTCCTTTTAAATTTTTTTTTCAGCTGAAGATGGACACAATATCTTTATTTGTATTTATTTATTTTTATGTGGTGCTGAGGATGGAACTCAGGGCCTCATGCATGCAAGGCAAGTGCTCTACCACTGAGCTACAATCCCAGTTCCTAGAATGCCCTTTTAAAATAATATTCCATCGTATGTATGTGCTACATTATGTTTATTCATTTATCTACTAATAGAACTTGGATTTTGTCTTGCCTTTTGGCTGTTGTAAATAATACTGCTATGAACATGGGTGTACAAATAAATCTCTTTGAGAACCTCTTTCTATTTGGGGGATATATATCTAGAGGTAATATTGCTGGATCACATGGAAATTTTATTTGCATTTTCTTAAAGAACTATCATAATATTTTACACAGCAGTGGTACCATTTTACATTCTAATCAACAGTGTGTAAAAGTTCCAATTTCTCCACATCCTTGCTAATACTAGTTTTTTCTGCTTTTTTTGTTTTTATAGTGGTATTATCCTAACGAGTGTGAAGTATTAGCTCATCGTGGTTTTGATTTATTTGCATTTCCTTAATGATTAATGATCTGAATATTTTTTCATGTGCTTTTTGTCTGTCTTCTTTGGAGAAGTTTCTATTTAGGTCCTTTGCCCATCTTTTGATTGAGTTGTTTGTCTTTTCATAATCGAGTCGTAAGAGCTCTTTATAGATTCTAGATGCAAGTCTCTTATGCAAATAATTTCTCCCATCCTATGGGTGCCTCTTTCCTGATGGTATTCTTTGAAGCACCAAGTTTTTAGTTTTGATAAGTGTAGTTCATCTACTTTTTTTTAGTTATTTGTGCTTTTTGGTATCATATTGAAGAAGGCTTTGTTCAAAGTCATGAACATTTTTTTTCCTATTTTCTTCTAGAGTTTTATCATTTTAGCTCGTACATTTAAGAATTTGATCAATTTTGAGTTAATTTTTGTATATAGTGTGAGGTAGGAGATCCAGTTTCTTTTTTCTTTCTACATGTTGATAGGCAATTGTTCCAGCACCATCACCCGACAGGAGCTAGTTGAAAAGATTATTCATGTCCCATTGAATCGTCTTGGTATCCTTATAAGAAATCAATTGACTGTAAACATGAGTATTTATTCCGGACTCTCGAGTCTTTTCCATTTGTCTGTGTATTTACACTTGCACCAGCACCACAGTGTCTTGGTTAGGTAATTTTATAGGAAGTTTTGAAATCGAAAGTGTGAGTCTTCCAAATTTGTTCCTTTTTTTCCAAAATTGCTATGGTTATTCTAGATCTCTCGAATTTCCAAATGAATGTTAGGAAGAACTTGCCAGTTTCTGCAAAGAAGCCAGCAAGATTCTGATAGGGACTGTACATGAACTTGGAGAGTATTTCCAGCATAGCAATATCAAGTCTTCTGATCCAGGAACATAGATGTCTTTGTATTTGCTTATGTCTTGTTTCATTTCTTTTTCTTTCTTTCTTTCTTTTTGGTACTAGGACAATTTTTTTGTATGGCTTTTCACAGGATAAGTTTTGCACTTTAAAACTTTTTATTTCAAATTATTTTATTCATTTTGATGCTGTTGTATATGGAATTGTTTTCTTAATTTCCCTTTTAGATTGCTCATCGCTACTGTACATGTAGTTCCTTTGGAGGACACATTTATGAAACTTGTTAGCTTCCTTTTCTGTGTGCTTTTCAGCATTTGAAGAATTTTAAGCATTTTCTCACAAGGCTGCATCTGCCTGATTTCAAGCTTTCTAAAAAGCCCAATTCTGGGGTACTTTTTCCACAGTCATCCCTCTTGTATAGCCTCTTTCTTACGACATCTCATGCCCTGCAGCATGAAACCTTAAGATTGTAAAGCTGTCTCTCCTGCTGAGTAGCCTTCAGCTCAGAGAATTTGTGGACTTGATGGTTTCATTTGGCATTCTGCCATGACTAATATACATATGTGTGTGTGTATATATATATATATATATATATATATATATATATTACATATAAGTTATATAAAAATATATACATATATGTAAAAATATATATATATATACACATATATGTGCATAAAATTGGATCTATATATATGTAAAATTTAGAAATTATGGATGTTAGAATGATGTTTGAAAGAACCTACAAGATGTACCTCCTCCAGAAATTGCCAATTGCACTCTCCTAATCTTTTTTTCTGCATTTGAATTTGCCTAATGATGACTTTGCCAAAAATAGTAGAGATCATACATTTGTGATGCATTTGCAGTGTAACATTATATCCTAATTATTTCCCTAGTGAAGTCCCCATAGATGGCTTTAATTACTATAATATTCCACCCAGTAGATGCATTCTAAACTATAAATCTATTCCTGTAGTGCTGAAAATTTATTTTAGTCTTTCACTAATATGAATAACACTTCAAAGAACTGTGTTCATAAAAACTTTTCAGTATTTAGTATTTTCCTACCAGTATTTAGGATTCCTAGAAGTGGAATGAAATGATACAATAGTTGTTTTAGTCTCTTTTTCATTACTGTAATGAAATACTTGAGGCTGGCTAAGTTTATAAAGAAGGGAGATCTATTTAGCCTACAGTTTTGGAGACTCAAGGGCATGGTGCTGCTATCAGCTTGGCTCTGTTGAGGTCTTCATGGCTGATGGCATCACAATAGTGGGATGGGAATAGATCACATTACCAGACAGGAGCTAGAATGAGACTGGAGTCCCATAAGCTCTTCCAAGGGCACATCTTCAGTTGACCTACAGACCTGGCCCCACTTCTTAAAGGCCCATACCACCACCTCCCATCATTGCCACACTGAAGACCAAGACCCCACCATGTGAACCTTTGGAGGGACAAACCATATCCAAACCTCAGCAATATTTTAAACCTTTAGCTGTCCCTAGATGACTCTCCTAAAGGTTGTACCCATTTACCTTGCCCAAGCCGTGGATGAGTACCCACTCCACTGGACCTTTTACCTGCACTGGGTATTATGTTTGCAAAAGCCTAGTTTATATTTTATGTTTGCAAAAGCCTAGTTTATATTTTCTCATTAGTGTCATCATATTATTTTCTTTTTAATTATTTTTTTCTAAGCCTGTGTTGTACAAGTTTCCTTTAGTCTGCCAAATAGATGAGTTTAGTTTTTACTTATTTGATCATTAGTTTTTATTTTTTTGGCATTGGGGATTGAAAACAGGTCCTCGTGAATGCTAAGCAAGTGCTCTATGACTGAGCTTCACCCCCAGTCCCCATTTCTTCGTAATTCCTTCTAAAAACGTGCTGCTGGGTTTTTTTCCGCGGTGTTCTACCGTGTTCTTCTCCCGTTCATTTTTTCCCACTGAAGCGAGGTTTCCTCTTCTTTGTTCTATTTAGTACTCTGATTTCTGTGGAACGTCCTGGGGAGCTTCCCCCTTCTCTAGTTCCTCAAGGTCAAGCAGGAGGGGGGCCAGCAGTGGGGACTGGATTGCCCCAATCATGAGAACTTGACCTGGGCTTGGCTCTGCATGGGATGTCCCCATCTTCTGACCTCTGGCTGAAAATTTGCTGTTTCCTACAGAGGAAACAAGTCCTCGTCAGGCTGGCTGGCAGTTACATACTGGACACCAGAAGCACCTCCTTTGCAGTGTTGGTGGCCGTGATCACTTGGGGATGGAGCTATTGCACGCTTTGTTTACTTTTTTGGTATTTTCTAGCTTGTCTACTATGAGTCTTTTTTAATATTTATTTTTTAGTTTTAGGTGGACACAATATCTTTATTTTATATATATGTGGTGCTGAGGATTGAACCCAGTGCCTCGTGCATGCCAGGCAAGCCCTCTACCACTGAGCCACAACCCCAGCCCCTACTGTGAGCCTTTTTTTACATTAAGAAATTTCTTAAACATTGTGAATGTTTCAAAACCAGCCAACAGAACAGGACTCCTTGATGGGAAGTAGTGTTTTCCTCCAGAGAGGCCACCAGCTCTCACCCTACAGTGTGGAACACAGGAGCTACCCAGACCGGTAGGGAGACGTGGGCAGCTTAGTTTGAACCTTGCTGGGCTCCAGGGCTCTTGGGTTCTTTCCTTACTGCTTGCCCAGCTGGATTCACTCTTGCTTACGGAAGGCTGACAAGAACAAGGACAACAAGATGAGCTTCAAGGAGCTGCAGAACTTCCTGAAGGAGCTCAACATCCAGGTGGATGACAGCTATGCCCGGAAGATCTTCAGGGTGCGTCTGGGCCTACGGTGGCAGTGGGGTCCTAGGTCCCCATCTGTGGCCAGCTCTGAGCCCTGGCTTCCTGCCGTCCTGGCTTCGTAGGAATGTGACCACTCCCAGACAGACTCCCTGGAGGATGAGGAGATCGAGGCTTTCTACAAGATGCTGACCCAGCGGGAGGAGATCGACCGCGCCTTTGCTGAGGCTGCAGGCTCCTCGGAGACGCTTTCGGTGGATCAGTTGGTGACCTTCCTGCAGCACCAGCAGCGGGAGGAGGCAGCAGGGCCAGCGCTGGCTCTCTCCCTCATCGAGCGCTATGAGCCCAATGAGACTGGTGAGGGCCTGGCAGTCAGTCCCAAGGTCATTCTGGACTGGGAGACACCTAACGAGACTGCAGACAGAGAAGGGGACTAAAGGGCAGGGGTTCTCAGCCAGCCTCAGGGCGCTTGGTCAGTGCTTGCCTGACCCATGAAATCAGGCAGATGGGGGAGAGGACTCCAGTGTCACTGCCTCAGTTTTCCCCTTGATTCCTCCTTCAGGGGGGCTTTGAGGTCCTCCTCCCCCAAGAAATAGAGAGGTGACTGGAGAAGCCAAAGCAATTCCTGTCCCACCTTTGAGATGTAACTGGGCAGAGAAAATAGAGCCCTTTTCCAGAGGGCACTCCTGTCTGGGTGCACAGAGGAGATGAGACTCTGTCCTCAAGGGCCTCAGGGTTTCAGGACAGAGTCAGAGAAGGTGACAGAGCCTCACTCTGTGGTCACAAGTCTCTGGCTGTGAGCCTCAGACTTATCCTGCTTCCCAGAACTGTGGGGGACCAGCTCAGGATGGGCAGGCAGAGGGTCCCTTTTCCAGATTGGTGGGAAGCCAGGAGGAGGTCTGGGGCAGCCACCTCTGACGGTCTCCTCTCTCCCAGCCAAGGCGCAGCGGCAGATGACCAAGGATGGCTTCCTCATGTACCTGCTGTCAGCTGACGGCAGCGCCTTTAGCCTGGCGCACCGGAGGGTCTACCAGGATATGAGCCAGCCGCTCAGCCACTACCTGGTGTCCTCCTCACACAACACTTACCTGCTGGAGGACCAGCTCACAGGGCCCAGCAGTACCGAAGCCTACATCCGGTGAGGTCCAGGGAAGCCTTGGGGGCGGGAATCAGGAGGGGAACCCGGAACAGGACCTAGAGGGTCCTAACCACCACCCCTACCCTCAGGGCCCTGTGCAAAGGCTGCCGCTGCTTGGAGCTCGACTGCTGGGATGGGCCCAACCTCGAGCCAATCATCTACCACGGCTACACGTTCACGTCCAAGATCCTCTTGTGTGACGTGCTCAGGGCCATCCGGGACTATGCCTTCAAGGTGGATGCTGAGCTCCTGGGGGGTGAGGAGGAGGGGCCTAGGCGTGGCCAACCTGTCCTAACATGCCCCTGGGCCTCCAGGTGTCCCCTTACCCGGTCATCCTGTCCCTGGAGAACCACTGCAGCTTGGAGCAGCAGCGCGTGATGGCAAGACACCTGCGTGCCATCCTGGGGCCCATGATGCTGGACCGGCCACTCGATGGGGTCACCACTAGCCTGCCCTCCCCCGAGGTACGTGGTGGGGATGGGGGTGCCCAGAAGAGAGGGCAGGGACTGACTGGGAGGCCAGGGGGGTCCTGATGAGTTGCCCCTTCATCTCTAGCAATTGAAGGGGAAGATCCTGCTGAAGGGGAAGAAGCTTGGGGGATTGCTGCCCCTGGGAGGGGAAAGCAGCCCCGAGGCCACGGTTGTGTCAGACGAAGATGAAGCTGCAGAGATAGAGGACGAGGCAGTGAGGAGCCGAGTGCAGCACAAGCCCAGGGTTCGAGAGGGAGCTGTGGGGTGGGAGGCCCTGGGGTACCTCCTTCCCCAGCCCCCTGGGACATGAGCCTTATCTCAGTTCTCTGGCTGCCATTCAGAACCTCTGCCCCCTCTCTCTGTCTTCCTCTGTCTCTCTCTGTGTCTGGGTTTCTGGCTCTCAGTGCCCACCCCACCCCAACCTCTGACTCTAACCCGGGCCTCCCCACGGCCCCCAGGAGGACAAGCTCAGGCTGGCACAGGAGCTCTCCGACATGGTCATTTACTGCAAGAGTGTCCACTTTGGGGGCTTTTCTAGTTCTGGCACCTCCGGGCAGGCTTTCTATGAGATGGCGTCCTTCTCAGAGAACCGAGCCCTCCGAATGCTCCAAGAGTCAGGTGAGTCCCTCTGCAGGCAGAGGGTGCGGGCCATCTGTCTGACCATCTGGGCCAGCCAGGGCCAGGCCTGGCTGCTCTGCTCATGCTCAGGCCCGGAGTTGGTGCTGCCTGCTCCGTTACCAGAGAGAACTGGTGGGAGGGCCATGGGTTCCCTGGGAGGCCTCCACTGCTGACCGAGCCACACCTCCCCTCAGGAAACAGCTTTGTCCGTCACAACGAGGGGCACCTGAGCAGGATCTACCCAGCCGGGTGGAGAACAGACTCCTCCAACTACAGCCCCGTGGAGATGTGGAACGGGGGCTGCCAGATTGGTAGGGGCTGGCTGGGGTCGGAGGACACCTGGGGGAGGGTTTCAGTCCTGAGGCCATTCAAAGCCCAGAGCCTTGAATGCCCCACAGTGAGAGGTCTGGGGAGCTGAGCAGGGCAAGACGCAGGGGCTCATGGAACTGGTAAACTCTTTGGAAATATCTCCCCACTAGCATCTAAAAAACCCATCATTATCGTACTAGCCCTTTGAGTTCTGACACCAGAAGCATAATATAACCCATTAACATGGGGTCAGTATGCTGGGTCAGTTAGAGCGGAGAAGGCAGTGGGCATTGGAGTGGTATTGGGTCCTAGGCCTCAGTGTACCCGAGGAGGCTGGCTCTAGGCCCCTGAGGTCAGCCCAGCCTGTGAGTGCTCTGTCCTGCTTGTAGTGGCCCTGAACTTCCAGACACCTGGGCCAGAGATGGACGTGTACCAGGGTCGCTTCCAGGACAATGGGGCCTGCGGGTATGTGCTGAAGCCTGCATTCCTGAGAGACCCCAACACCACCTTCAACGCACGTGCCCTGACTCAAGGGCCCTGGTGGTCCCGGAAGCAGCTCAGCATCAGGGTATGGACAGACCCAGGAGGGACCCGGTGCCCATGGACCTCCCCCACCCCCATCACTTCCATTCCTGAACTCTTCCTTGTCCCCCACCTGTCCTCAGGTCATCTCTGGACAGCAGCTGCCCAAAGTCAACAAGAGTAAGAATTCAATTGTGGACCCCAAGGTGACCGTGGAGATCCATGGCGTGGGCCGAGACATGGCCAGCCGCCAGACTGCTGTAATCACCAATAACGGTAAGTCCTGGGGCTTGAGCCCGGCCCAGCTCCCGGTGCTGCTGGTGTGCATGCGGTTGATACGGTGCCTGTCCCCCAGGTTTCAACCCGTGGTGGGACACGGAGTTTGAGTTTGAGGTGGCTGTGCCTGAGCTGGCGCTGGTCCGCTTTGTGGTGGAGGATTACGACGCCTCCTCCAAGAACGACTTCATCGGCCAGAGCACCATCCCCTGGAACAGCCTCAAGCAGGGTGAGTGTGTGGCGAGGGCAGGGGACAGCCGGGATGGGGTCTCTCTTGTGTAGGACCTGGCTGTGCCAGGGCACACCCTCCCTGGGTCACCAGAACTCTCCTTCCTGCCTGCCAGGGTACCGCCACGTCCACCTCCTGTCTAAGAACGGAGACCAGCATCCATCAGCCACCCTCTTTGTGAAGATCTCCATCCGGGACTAGGCCTCTGGGGTCAGGTGGGGTCCACCCTGAGTCCGTCAGGCCCTCTGTCCACACCTGGAGGCAGGGCTGGTGTGGCTGCTCCCAACCTCCACCGCGGAGCCAGAGGTCCCTGAATGGCCTTCAACGCTAACACACTGTCTGTGCTGCTGCCTCTCTGGGGTTCCAGGAGCTGCCCCGGGCCCTGGAACTGTCCTCATTTCCGTTAGCAACAACACTGCAGCCCTCTCCGCCCTCTGGCCAGTGTTAGGTCAAGGGTTTTTATAAAAATCACAGTAAGACTCAGCCTTGTGGTCTCCCTTTCTGGGATATAAAATCCCCCGAGAAGGGCATGTCCCTTCCCCATGCTCCTGGGGGTGGTCTGGAGAGGGCAGCCAGAAGCACACCGAGGGATCCGGGTCTGAAGGCACACGTACCACACCTGGTGCACACCACTGCCTTTTATTGGCAAAGGAGAGGGGGGCCTGGGGGTGTGAGCAGAGCCCCCCGGACTCAGAAGAAGCCCAGCTTCTTTTTCTCCTGCTGCTGCTTCCACTTGGCCATGCCGTAGAACTCCTTCTTGGATTTCCCAAAGATGTCTTGGAAGTCAGCGTCTGAGAGATAGAACTGGGGGAGGGATGTAGGGGAGGTTGTCATGAGAGCCCAGAGTCCAGTCCTACCTAGAGATGTCATCAGGGCACTGCCACCCATCTGGGACACGCCTCCCATCCCTGCACAATGGGCTGATGGTGTCCTGGGCTCCTCCAGCACAGCGTTAGGTGTGGGGCAGTAAGTGATCACCCACCTCCTTGCGGGTGGGGTCCACGCCCTGTGGCAGGTCCTCAACGGCCTGGTACCTCAGCCGTTCGGGGGGCAGGCTCCCACTGTCGACCAAGCTGACACTGCTGCTGCTGCTGTTGCTGTTGCTGTTGCTGATGCTGGTGCTGGCACTTCTGCCGCCTACCCTGGGCCCCAACTCCATCTCTGAGATGTCCTGGCTGTCTTTGATGGCTGGTAGGTCTGGAGGACCTGCTCTGCTCTCGCCTGGCCACTGGGATAGCTGGAAACTGTTGATTTCCTGTCCAGAGAGGGGACCTCACGCTGGGGAAGATTGGAAATAGGCACTCCTCGGGGAGGCGACATTGAACCCACTTGCCTCTTTCCCCCAGCTGCAACCCTGGCCACCTACCAGGCCCCTGCTCACTCTGGATCGTGCTATCCAAGCCTACACCACTGTGGGCAATGCCATGGTAGGGTTCCCAGTACTCACTGCTGTGATCCCAGAGATGGCAGATTCTGTTCCCAAGTGGGAGACCCCACTCTTCACCACCTCCTCATAGGACTGGTTGTTCTGGGAGCAAGAATGAGGTCAGTTATCAGGGCTGGGCAGGATGAAGGGGCACCCCTGGGATAAGGCCAGTGAGGACACGGTCAGATCTCCCTCACATATGTTGGAGGTCCCCAGCCAGACCAGCACCTCCTCCTTCAGTTTGCTCCGGGAGGTCCCGCTCCCCCCAAATGAGGATGGGGCCTTACTCACCGACCACATGTAGGGGTCCCAAGTGGAGAACCATCCTGTGAAGGTGGGCGGCTCGTGGCCTTGCTTGACCAGCACGATGGGCGTGGCCGGGCTTCTCCCTGCTGGATGGGTCCGCAGGTACTCCTGGCCCCAGGCCACCGCGTCCTTGCGCTCACTGGCGGCAGCACCAAGCCACAGGAATATCTGGGCCACAGAGGGGGCCTGGTCTGGGACATGTGGAGGGGCTGCCTGGAGCCACACACCTCCTCCCGGCTCCCTGTCTATCTGATGACCTCAGAACCCCACCCACACAGCCCTGGCCAACCGGACACACCCAGCACGCTGCCACCCACACAACAGTGAACACAGGAAGGTCTGCATGCATTCATGCATTTGACCTACAGATATTTGTTGAGCACCCACTGTATGCCAGGCACTGGGGAGTCAAAAATTTAAAAAATAGATAAAAATCCCTGACTTTTTTTTTTTTTTTTTTTTTAATGAGGGAGCAAGTCACATGTATGTCTGAGGAGACAATGAAGAAGAAGCCACCAGTGCAAAGGTCCTGAAGTGACCATGCGCCTGGCATGTTCCAGGAACGGCAAGCAGAACCAGCAAGGGGAGGGTGGGAGGAAATCAGGTCAGAGAGTTGGGGCTGACCAGGTCCCATGCAGCTGTTGAAAGGGCTCGTTTTTTTCTGAGGTGCGTGCCCACAGCCTTGCCACCAACCCACATGCTGCCACAGACGTGGCCTCCCACAGGCACAGTGCTACAAAGGCACACAAGCCTCTCTTGTCATCCAGCCCGACGGCAAATCATAGCCATGTATTGCCATCCACTGTTGTCCAACACATGGTGTGACAGTCACACGTAATCAGCCAGTTGCACTAGCTTGGAAAGTCACACAGAAACACAGTGGCACAGACATACAGAGTCACTCGGTTGCTCACACCCACCTCTGGTCCTGTGGTTTCTTTCTATCTGCCACATACGTGTGTATGCAAGTGAGTGTGCACACACACACATATATACATGAGTCTCATGGTAGAGTCCCCAAGGTCTGGCCAGTTCTAGTCAGTTACTTGACCCCACTGTCACTGACACATCAGTCTCCAACCCAGGCGCATATCTAAGAGCAATAGTCACACAGAATCACCCCACATGCCCGCGGTCAGTCCATCCACTGACCGTTACTCACTCCACCCTGACAGGTCCAGCCAAGGTGTGCCTTCATCTGGAGCCACACACAGCATTGTAAGATACTCAGGGTTACACACAACTACACACATGGTCCCGGTCAGATGAGACCCATAGAAGACTGAGTACTTTCACACAGTGACACAGACAGCCACATGATTGCACCATTAGTGTCATAGTCACTCACTCACAGCTTATGTGGAGTCATACCCAGTTACACAAATACAGACACACCCCCCTTCACACTCCAGCCAGGCAGGAGTGGCCGCTTACCTCCTGCCAGGTGTCCAGCAACATGATGTCATACTTGTCCAGATCCCCTTGACGGAAGAACACCACTTCTGAGAGGACCAGGCAGCCTTCCTGGCTGGAGCACTCAAACAGTCGTGGCTGGAAGCTGGTGGCCTCCTCCGGGAGCCTGGCCAGCACGGAGCATGGGGCACAGAGGTGCTGTACCTCTGCAGCCTGGGCCCTGCCCGCCCTCAGCACACAGCACCCACCCCAGGGCCAGGAGGCAACTTCTCTGGGGTAGGAGACTGGGCCTTCCTCTTGGCTTCACCCACCCCATAATTCTCTCCAGGAGCCCCCTGCTCCTCACTGGGCTGCAATTCCTTTCTGTCCATGGAGAATGCAGACTAGGTGATCTATCTGTCCCCAGCCAGCTGTGACACCAGCTGTCCCATGAATTTCCCTGGAATGGACACTGGGGAAGGGTATGACAGCACCCTCTCTGGGAAGGGAGAGTCCCCTAGGCTCACCCCTGGGTGGCGTGGCCTCAGGCCCTGGGTCAGGAAGGGAAGCTAGGCTGGGCTGGGTGAGGGGATGATCGTACTGAGCCCGGGAGACTCAGCAGGTGTGGTGCAAAAACAAAGCCCCACAGTCACACCAGCAAGGCCTGAAACTTAGCCACCTCTTCCCTTAAGGTCTAACTCTGCCCTTTCCTCCAACATATACCTCATTCAATTACCCAGGCAGGGCCAGGAGGGGAATGTTGAGGAACAGTGCCTTTGCCCAGGACAGTGACACTGCAAGGAGAGGATTAGGCCAGCAGAGGGCACCACTTCCCCTACTCTCCTGGAATCTTCTGATCCCAGTTACCCAGGCCTGGCGAATGAAGGGTGGGCTTTATTCCCGAGCCTCTGGGGGGTAGATTTGAGAGTCTTCAGTCCTAGTCATCTCTCCAGCTCCCTGTGTGACCCTTGATTAGTCACCCACCCCCTATGGGCTTCAATTCCTCCTTGGAATAAGAACACTCTCCTCCCAATCCCCTTACCTCTTGCTGCTGGGGTAGGGGGCCCGGCCCCCCAGGGCCTCCCAGAAGTGGGGAGGCTCCTGACCCTCTAGCACCGTTTCCTTGTCATTCCCAGAAATGATAGTGACCACTGTCCGTGCCATCTCACGTTGGTCACCGTTACAGCCCTGGCAAGCATAAAGCTGGGTCAAGCCCCACAGGGGGCAGGCTGTGGCCTCCAGTCCTACATCCCACTCACCCGGCCTGTTCCATCAGGAGTGCTGTGGCTCTTCACCCTCACCCCTGCCCTAACCTCACCCCCACTGGCCTATTTTGGGCCTGTCCCCAGGTACAAATCAAGCAGTCAGTCCTACAGGTACCTTCCCGAACCAGAGGTAGCAGACACCAGCTGTGACTAGCAAGAAGACCTCACTGGAGTTGAGGGACGAGGCTCGGGCTGGCACCTCCATGGTCCTGGTGTTGTAGCCGTCAGTGCCTTGCACGTGGAAGAGCCTGGGGACACAGGCTGGCTGCCCCTTCACGTGGTGCCCAGTGCTCCCCTAGAAAAGTGCTAGGCCTCAGGCTCCTGGGCAGTGGGTTGCCTCTCTGTCCCAGTAGGGACAAACTGCCCCAAGACTTAGGCCAACATTGTCTTCTGGATCCTCTGAAGGTGGAGTGTGGGGATCCATCAGTCTAGCACAGGAAAGCAAGCCCTTTGTAAGTGGACCCCTCACCCCTTCTCTGCAGGGTCAGGGCACAATGCCCGGGCCTTGAAGGTGAAACATGGGGAGCAGTTCTACCCGGGTATGACATCACTGGGTCCCTTTTGACTCAGTTTCCTTGCCTGTGTTCCTGCTCCATACTTATCTGTGGGACTATGGGGTCACCCTTGGGGTTCCTGGGCCTTGGACAAGCACCAGGAAACCACGTGCTGGAATGCTGGACCCCAGACCTGAAGAGGTGTTTAACAAGTTCATGCAAGGGCTACGGCCATGTCGAGGCCTGGGGAAGCTGCCCCTGCAGCAGCAGGGTGGGCCCTACCTGGAAGATCACCAGCTGGCCTTGGAAGATGGCAAGGAAGTGGGGCGGCTCGCTGCCCATTGTCACATGCTCCTGCACCAGAGCTCCCTGGTACAGGTGGTCCAGCTCCTCAGCATTAGAGTGCAGGGCCTTGGTCTCTTCTGCTGTGGCCTGGTGGCCCTGTGGGGTTTGGGGAGACAGTGATGGCCCAAGGCAGCTCTCACATTTCCTTCTCTGGCTCTAGCTCTTAGACTTTAAGTGTGCACCACCCCCCTCCAGCCGGTGCACCTGCCATAAGTACAAGATGTACTGGATGCGGCCCAGTTTCTGGTATGTGTAGAGGACGAGGTAGCAGTTGCTTGAGCACAACTTTCCATGATGCTTGGAATCCACGGGCTGCCTGCGTGAGTCCTGGATGCACCATACCTGAGGAGAAGGGAACCAGTGGGCAAAGGTAGCTCCTCTACCTGAACCAGCCTGCCCATCCACACCTACCCAGAAAGCTCTCTTTCATTCCTCATCTTGTGTAGGTAAGGAGCTCACCCCAGGTCTGCAACCTCCCCATGCTCTGTGCTGAATCTGCAGGTGACCTTTTTCCCCCACGGACCCCTGGAACCCATCACACCTGAGCTGATCTGCTCTCAGCCAAGACTGAGTTTGCATGTGGTACCTGAGTAAATGAGTGGCAAGGACTTCAAAGGATGTGACCTGGACCACCCTGCCCCACACTTATCCCAAGTCCCAGCCCCGCCAGCCACAGCCCTGGTCAGGGGCAGACAGGACCTCACACAGACACTGTTCAGGCCAGGTCAGCAGAAGTCAGGCCTCGAAACATTAGGGAACATGCCCTTTTGGCTTTCAAGGGTCATTAAAACTACAACAACAACAACAAAGCCTGCTTGAAATCTGAGAGGAAAATACTTCCTCACATTTGTCAGTATTCCCTGTTCCCCCAGGTAGACAGACTGGTCAAATTGCAGGTCTGTGTGGTTAGCAGTGAGGCCCTCAAAGCTTTAGATTTTCCCACCTGCAAATTGGGGATCCCAGCACCTACTTCACTTACAGGCCAGGAAACAACGTCTGGGCATCCTTTACCCACAAAAAGCCCAAAAGCTTCTCTGGGGGAACTTTCCCTCCAGACCAGAGGATCCAGAACCCTGCCTTTTGCAGAAGATGCTCATCTGGGCCACACACCACCCAAGAGTGGCACTTACCTGGAAACCAGGCCTCCCGTCTCAGGCCTCTCTGCCTGCTGCCCACTGCCTCCGCTCCCTGTGCTTGGAGCCTGGGTCCCATACTCTCCTTCCCTCGCTCCCTTGCCTACCTGTGGGCTTTCCTGCCTTGCTCTCTCCCTGCTGCTCCCTCTGTCTCTCTCAATGCACCCCTTTTCCCTGCCTACTTTTTCCTTGCCCTGAACCCCCAACTCTCCCTGCTCATCCTGCACCCCATCTCTTCCTCCTCTCTCCATCTCTGCCCCACTCCCTGCCTTTCCCAGTCTCCTTACCCACCCCGAATCCCATCTTCCCCTCTGCAGGCCTTTCCCCTACCTTTCCCCACTTGGTGCTTCTCCTCCTCTCTTTGTCTCCCACCACTCACCTCCTCTGCCCATCTCTATTAGGGCAAATGTAGGAGGCATCTTGTATTCCTCTGACCTCAACCTTCCTCGAGAACTAGGACCCCTCACCAGTGGTCCCATTTCTGTAATCTCACAGCATCCCTACATCAGCCTTGGGACCAGATGGGACCAATTTCTGCCCACACTTTATAGATTTAACAACGGAGTCCCAAAGGATACCAAGGCCTCTGCTTGAGGGTCAGCCAGCAGATCAGTGTGCAATCGTGTGCTGCATGGAGCCTGGAAGTGGCCTTCAACACCTGCGGCTCCTAGCACACTGGTCTGAGACCAGATGAGTGGTTCACAGTTGATGACTGTATAGGGGGGATGGGAATAGGGGGCTGAGATAGATTATGTGTGGCTGTGCATCTGTGTTGGTGTTGACCATTGTGTGAGTGCTGTCATGTGTGATACAGAGTCATGCAATTTCATATTTGCACTTGTGCACCTGGCTATGATGATGCAATCACTAAGTATGAGTGCCTGTGTCTGTATTGTCATATGTATGGGCTTGTCACACATATAACTATGTATGATTAGGCTTGACTGTATCTGTCAGCTGTCAGGCAGAGTTTGTGTATGTGCACGGGTTACTGGTTGTCCCCAGTTGTGTGTAGATGTGCATCCGGGTGTCCTAGGGTCACCTGAGATAGCACCACCCGCATGGTTTACCAGTGGGCAAAGCATAGCTAGTTAAATCAAGGCCCCTCACCTCCACCTTCCCAGAGCCGTCGTCCACCATCCTGAGCTGGGCCGCTAGCTCTGGCTGGCTGTGCAGCTTGCCCACGTCCAGCTTTACCTGAATGGATTTACCTGAAGATGAGACAAGGGATGTCAACGGAGCTTTCTTTCGGCTCAGGTCCCAGCCTCCACCAGCCCCTCCCCACCCACTCTTCACGGTCCCTCCTAGACTCCAGGGCCCTCCCTGGCCAGTCCGGACGTTCTGGCCACTCCCCTTCACTCTTAGTGCTGAGTTCTGTCCAGCACCCCTCGGCTGGGGCCACGTCCGCTCCCGCTCTCCCCTCACGGCGAACCACGTGTTCCTGCCAGGCCCCGCCCCTCTCCCGACAGGCCCCGCCCCTCTCCCGACAGACCCCGCCCCTCTCCCGGCAGGCCCCGCCCCTCTCCCGACAGGCCACGCCCCTCCAGCCTTGTCTGCCCCGCGCACCTGTCCCGTCCAGCTTTTTCCTGCCCAGCTCCCGCGTCCACGTTCGGAAGAGCTGCTTGAACGCGGCCGACTCAGCGCCGTCGTCCACCACCTCCACGTTGGTGTAGGTCGGGTAGCCCTTGGCCTGGATGTAGCCCTGGGGCGGGGACCGATCAGGCCTGCGGGCTTCGGGCTTCCATTGCGCTCCACCTCCCAGGGGCCGCCCCCCACTACAGCGGCAAAAGCAGCTCAGCTCTGAGACGCGTTAATTAACAAGTTTGTGACCCATTTAACAAGCCGACACTGTCATTACCGACTTCTCTGAGGTCCCTGTGGGCAGACAGAGGTCCCCAAGTCCCAGCCTAGAGAAGAGCTGGCCATGACAACTCATGCAGACCCAGGCCAAACCACTTCTACCCCCAGCCCCAGAAAGGAGGGGACACCCAGTGCAGAAGGCTCCCAGACCTCAAGGCTGGGCCATGTGCTATCTCTGTCTCTGTCTCTATCTCTATCTCTATCTCTATCTCTATCATCTCTATCTCTATATAGATAGATAGAACATGGCTCAGGGTGCATCCACTTTCTGGCTCCAGGTTAGGGTTTCCTCTCCTTTGGGACCCCAGGATGTGGATATTTCCCAAGTCAAAGTTCTAAGTTCCCCCTCCCTTAGATCCCCAGGGAAGGAAACCCCCTGCCAGATTTCAGGGCCAGTTTCCTCCCTAATCAGATCCCAGAGCTGTGCTGTGTCTCTCAGACAGGGACCCAGGGCCTCACCACAGCCCTGCTGAAGGCAGCCTTTTTCTCCTCGACGTTGGACATACGTCCCTGCCATAAGTAGATCTTAAAGCCACCCTGGTCCAGGATGTAGCAATCCTAGGAGTCAGGATAGGTCTGGTTAGTAGGTGGTCCAGACAGCTGGGCTTGTGGAGTAGAGATGAATCAAGGGGCTGGGGGTTTTCTCACCTCCTCCTGCAGCAAGTCCTGGGTTAGGGGGCGGGTTGCCAATTCCTGTATCACCAAGTCCTTGCCTTTCTCATAGACACTGGGGGACAGGCATCCAGGTTATGGGCAGCCCAGTCCCTCCTTGGCCTGGCTTTACTCTGCCCGTGTTTAGAACTTCTACTTCCCCAAAGACAGAAGGCATGGGAGCTGAAGGGAGTTGCCGTAGAGCCTTATACAGCTCCTTGACCTTCATGGGGCCTCATTCCCTCATCTGCACAAAGGGTTTCCCAATAGGGTTGCCACACATCATTTGAGAGTATAGGATAGACTCAAGGTCCCACATGCCAGGTCCCAGAAATCCATCTGCTTTTACTGGAGGGCTTTCTAGAGTTGCTGTGCTATTGCAGTAATACTGGACAAGCAGTCCTGGACTGTTCTGCCCACCCTGTCCTCCCTCAATTCTGCTCACTGGTAGAGGCGGACATTGGCCTTCTGCAGCTGGTTAATACTCTTGATGGGGACGGCTGCGTGCAGACTGCTCACTCTGCAACCCAGCACAGCCTCCATGATATGCGTGGGGTCAGTGACTTCAACTCCATCATCCACTATGCCAATCTGTGCACGACCACCACGTTCCCTGTCCCGGATGCTGCAGGTCAGAACCAGGCCCTGTGGAGAGGAAATGGCAGTCAGGCTTCCCAGGTGTGCCCTCACTCTGGCAGCCCAGCTCAGCTCTTTCCTGTCACTGCTCAGCTCCCAGAGGCAGGGATGGCCGGAAGGGAAAGCTGTTGTCTCCTCCCTCTGGCATCTGGGGGGCCATCACCAGTGCAGGGGCTGAACTCAGCTTGTGCCTAGTAGGTGCTTCTGATGGAGGTGGAGAGTCCAGCCCACTTCTTGGGGTAGACAGAGGATAGAAACCTGTAGGACCAAGCCCTGCACCCCCAGTTCCTAGGGCAGACACTGACCCGAGATTTCTCAGAAATGCTGGTCTTGGACCCATTCCACTGGATCATCACCATGCCCAGGTCCAACAGGAAGATGTCTCCTTTATTAAAGCTATTCCAGGACAGCTCCACCTGCCAGAGTCAGGAGGAACAGGGAAGAAAACAAGTGTGTCATACTAGCAGCACCCAGCCAGAGGGGAGCATAGCTGGAGTGTGTCACTTAGACACATGAAGCCCTGTGACTGTAGCAACACCTAACACAGTGTGCAGGCATGCATGTATGTCATCAAAAGTAACCTGGAGGGTGGCTCTCTGTGTCTGTGTACATCTCTAGGCATGCGTGCTTGTAGACAATGCTATATCCACAGGGCGAACATGACTAAGCATGACACTTTTCATTCAAAGTATGTCTAAAGCTGCACATATGTATATAGGTGGGGTGTATGCATTTATCTGTGTGTACATGTACATGTGTGGGAGTATATCAAATATGAACAAGTTTGTGTGCTCATGGTGACAGTGCACATGTGCTTGTGTGGGGACAGTGTGTATCTATGGATAGTTATCATCCAAATGGAAACACGTTTGAGGATAAAAGGGGGCACTCCAAATAATTATGCCAGGATAATAGTGAAATTTAATACTGTATGGTGTCCCAGCATGATCAGGGATGCATGGTCACTGGGTCTGTGGGTGACAGTGCAGAACCTGTGGAGGGCTGCCACATACTATGCAGACTGAAGGACCTTGGTTCACACTGTTGACATTGTACTCCTGAGTGATCACTACACCACATTCCGGCCTGATGGCAGTATAATGACTTGATCTAATAAGATCAGTATCTTCCTTAAATTTCTTGACATCTGGAAGCAAGGCGTTCTCTGTGCTGATTTGCACATGGATATCATATGGACTAGAGTAGCCCTGAGGGTGTAAGGAGAGACAGTGTGGGTGCCTGTGGGTGACAGTGACAGTGTATGTGAGAGAGCCTGAGGCTCTGCGCTCCTTCACAAATGTGCCACCTCCCATTGTGCTACTTACAAGGACCAGGTGCACAATCTTATCTGCCTCCCCTGCCCAAATTCCTAACATGCCCAGGAGACAGGTGAAGAAGAGGGTCCAGGGAGCCGTGGCAGAGGTAGAGCTGGAAGACTGGCTCTGCCTTCTCTTCTTATTCGGGTCAGGCCTTCTGGGAATGCTGACAGCTCATCGCCACCCACCACATTCCCTACCAACTTCCACACTTCCTTATACTTCAGTATACTCAGTCCAAGCTGAGTCCAGAGGTCAAGTGCATTCTTGGCGACCCTCACCTCGGTGGCAGACACGTGCTTCCTAGCTTTGATGTGCAGCAGTCGCTGGATGTTGTACATGTTGGTCTCCACATGCTTGACGTCAGAGGCTAGGCCCCCCTTCCTGTAGCTGAGAAGGGAAAGGGGCCCACTTAGAAACACACACTGCCATGTGTAGGAATGAGTGAAAAAGTGAGCACATGCACACGTGCATAGGGGATGTCATGTGCCTGTTCAGTGCATGTTAGAGTAAACATGAGGCATGAATGTGTGTTTTATCCATGTGTAGAGATGTGGACATGTGTGCATCTGTGTATACGTGTATTCTTTTGGAGGTTCAGTGTATATCTACTTACCCATGTAAGTCTGGATGGGAGTACGTGGAAATGGGTAACGACATAGATATGTTCAGGAGGACATGACTATTTACACGTGGGGGTGTGTGCCCATCTACAGGTGGCCATGCACAGGGGGTGGTGTGTGTTTCTGCATATGCATGTATACTTGTATGCATGTGTTCATGTATATACCACATGAACAAATGTAGGCCCAACTGTATGAAGCAGACATGGTCAGATATTGACAAGTTCCTATGTTCAACCTAAATATATTACAATTATTAATTTAAAAAACATTAAAGTAATTTATAGCAAAAGACATTTCTTTACATATATATGTATACAAATACACACGCACACACACACACACACACACACATATATATAATTGTAGATGGACATAATTCCTTTATTTTATTTCTTTATTTTTATGGGGTGCTGAGGCTCGAACCCAGTGCCTCACTCATACTAGGCCAGCACTCTATCACTGAGTCACAACCCCAGCACCCCCCAAAAGACATTTCTACCAACACAGCAACATAGAAGAAAATTCAAAACAATGTTGGTGTCCACTCCTAGGTATATACCCCCAGAGAAATAAAAACATCTGTCCACACAAAAACTTGTATACAAATGTTCATGGTGGAAACAGCCCAAATGTCCATTAAGTGAATAAATAAAATATGGCATATTCATACAATGGAATAGTATTTGGTAACAAAAATAAATTATTAATAATGCCTGATACAACATGGACGAACCTTGAAAAGAGCATGCTAATTGAAAAAAGCCTGTTATGAAGGACCACTTCTTGTAAGGGTGATAAAAACGTTCTCAAACTGCTCATGGTGCTGGTTGGACAAGCCTGTGAAAATCACTGAATGGCATATTGAAATGGGTGCTTGGTATGGTAGGTGGGTCGTATCTCAACAAAGTGCACGCTATCTCTCTCATACACACTGTCTCTCTCTCACATACACACATGCACGCGCACATGCACACCACACATGCACACACACATTCCATTTAGCAAATGGGGGTAGTCATCCCAAGGCAGCCCCAGCCTGAGCACTGGATTCACCACGGGGGCCTCCCAGTCCCAGTTCCTCCCTACTCTGCCCCGCACTCACATGACTCCCGGATGGAAGTAGCTGTGGAAACACTCGGACTCATGACCCTGTACTTCCCGATGTTGCACTGTCCGGTCCCCCAGCTCCTCTTTCAGGTGCTGCACAAAGGTGCTTGCAGCGCCCTGAGCCTCGGTGCTTGCCTCCTTCCCGATCCAGTAGTGCAGGTCGCTGGATGCTTCCTGTGTGGCCTTTTTGCTCTGGGGGACCTAGGGTCCATGTGTTTGTGTATGTGGGGGTGGGCAGGCAGAGGAGCAGGAGCAGGGAGGAGTCCAGGCATCAAGGCCCAGGTGGAAACGAGGTAAAGGGTGTGCTGAGGGCCGTGGAGGAGATGGTGGGCATATGCTCTGTGGACAGATCGTGAAGGGGCAGCAGGGGCTAAGAGGGCTCAGGGCAGCAGCCCCCCTTGGGGGAGGTGATTCTAGGGCTCTCAGCTTGCCTCTTTCTAGGGCAGAGATAGTGTCTGCGCCTTGGAGTCTCCAGTGCTGGGCCATGTCACCCTCTGTCCCAAACACAATCCCCATGTGACTCACATGGAGGATGATATAGCAGTGTTTCTCAAAGAAGTTCCCGTAAGCCTTCTCAGGTACTGGCACCATCTTCAGGTTCTGGGAGAAAAGGGTGACATGTGACAACTCAGAGACCCCCCTCCACCCATAATCTCCAGCCCTGGTGTGTGTAGGGGAGAGAGCTCTGGGTTGGGGGTGGGAGGAGCCTGGTTTCTGAAACCCCACACCTACCATGTCACCATCTGTGCCGTGTGTCAGACCTCTTACCTCGATGATCCATATTTGGAGGTCTCTGTGGCTGTCGATGGCTGGGAGGCCCTTGTTATTGTTCATCCTAAACCAGGCAGGAATGAGAGAGGACACAGGGAACAAGAGCCAGAGTTCTCAGGTAGTAGGTCCACCTCCTAGCCACCTGTTCTCCAGGCTCCAAACAAGAATTCTTCCCACCTACAGCTCTCCAAAGCACCTTCGTCATGAAGTGTGACTTTCATTAGGAGGGCTCTGTAAACACACAGACATCAAAAAACCAGGACAGGCACTGTAGCCCAGTATATGGAGACTTTGCAAACAGAGACCTGGGTGCTCTTAGAACAGGGCTGAGCTCTCTGGGCAGGGGCAGGCTTTGAAGCCAGCAACCTCTGCAAATAGGGAGTTAGAAACAGGCTATGCAGACAGATGCAGGATCTGCTTTCAGGGGCACTTGCTGCAGAGAATGGTAGGTTCTACAATCAGGCAAAAGCTCTGCCAGTAGGAACAGATTCAACAGGCGGGGACAGACGGCCAACAGGGACAGGCTCTTGAAATAGAACTCAATCCTGTAGACAAAGACAGGCTCCGCACACAATCGAGCTACAAATAGACACAGGTTTTCCAGGCAAAGTTAGGATCAGGCTATGCCAACAGCAGGGACCTACTCGGTGACAGGCTCTGTGGACAGAAAAAGGCTTGCAAACAGGCGAAGGCTTTGCAAGCAGGGACAGTTTTCTCAGACTGAAGAAAGGGTTGCAAAGTCTCCGGTTCTCTTGATGGAAATGATGGTGTGCGTGTGCAAGGATGGCCTGTGCATCAGACACAGGCACAGCCCAGGACAACTGAGACAGGCTGCTCAAACCAGCATGACTGTGAACACTGACAAAGGCTTTACAAACAGTTATGGGTGTTGCAGGCATGTGGGAGCTTTGCACACTGGGAAAGGCTCTGCCAACGTGGATGGGGACAAGCCTCAAGACAGGGACTCTTTGAATAAGGGACAGACTCTGCAGACATGGACAAGTTCATAGATGGGCAAGGCTCTGCAAACAGGTGTCCATTTTTGGCCAGAGAAAGGCCTCGCAGATGGAGGCAGGCTCTCTTTGGCATGAGCGTGCTCTGTATGCAGGGTAGCCTCTGCAAACAGACTCAATTCCTACTTACAGGGAGATGGGAATAGGCCAGGAAAATAATCATAAGCTCTAAAAAGAGATCAGGCTCTGAAAAAAGACTCAGGCCCTGTAAACAGAAAATCCAGAGATGTGATTTGCAGATAAGAGATTTTACAAGCCAACACAGGGTCTTCAGACAGACAGGTTCTGTAAACAGTGGTGGTTCCTCCAGAGAAGGAGGAGCTGCCGAAGGAGTGGCAGGAGTCAGCTTTGTGTGCCAGCACATCTACTCCACATGTAGGCAAGACTGAAGCAGGGCTGGGTTCTGTGGAGGGCCCTAAGCCCTGTGCCCTGCAAATGGGTTGGGCTTTACAGAAGAAGATCAGTTTTGAGACAGGTAAATGTTCTGTAAATAGGGAAAGGGTCTCTAACAGGTACACATGGAAATAGGAATAGAGTTTTGCAGATAAAGGCTCTGAAGATAGGAGTGTGCTTTGCAGAAAGACACCTATGCTCCCAGACAGACAGAGCCCTCCCACCCCCCAGCAAGTTAAACTTCGTCAGAACAAATCCTACAAAAAGACAGTTTCTACCCAGAGAAATTCAGATAGGCTGGGCTAACAGGCACAAGTCCTGACAAATGCCAAAGATGCTACCCATAGACCACAGAAAGAACCCAGGCCCGAAATAGAAAGAGGCTCTGTCATCAGGGACACAGTCTGAGATCGAGACACTCACGTGGAGGGAACTGTTTCTGCTAAGGGGGACAGGTGCTGCTTGAACAGACAAAGCTTTGCAAACAGGGGCAATGTCTTTATGTACAAAAATGTGTCCCAGACAAAGGCACCAGACAAGTTCTGCAGACAGGGATGAGCTGAGCATGCACAACAGCTTCTGCAGGGAAAGCAAATCTTATGCCCAGGGAAACAGGGACCCACTGTTGAAAGAGCCCCAGAGTCTGAAAACAGAGGCTTCAGGCAAAACCAGGCTCTGCAGAGAGACAAAGTTCTATAAATCCAAGACAGAGTGCACACAAGAACTGTCTCTGAAGACTGTGACAGAGTGCAGCAAGTGACAAGCTCAGCTGGCCTAAGTGTTGGGCAAATGAGGCATAAGCACTCTTGACAGATTCTTGAAACTGGGCTGACCTCTAACACAGAGACTCTGCAAACTGACCTGGGTCACTCAGGTTTGGACTCTGTGGGTTCTGAGTGTGCAGAGGAGGGAGAGCAACATGAAGTATTGGAGGAAGGCAGGCTCTCTGTTCTGTTGATTTTCTTACATCTCAGCAGATTGCCATCGACCCGCTGGGGCTCCCCTGCACAACTCCTTCAGAAATGTGTGTGTGAGGTTTGGTCATTCTCTCCTGCACGGAAGTCTTTGTGCATTTAACTTAAACCCTGCCAGCTGCAGCTTTCTCTCCTTGCTGCTGCTTTGCTGAATAGACACCCAAGTCACTTCTTTCTGAGTCTCTCCCTTGGGCCCCTGGTGTGATAGTGACTCTGCTACTCTGGCCCCTGCACTCCTCCCTGGCAGAGCAAGGGTGAGCGAGGGCAGAGGCACAGAGCTACTGGCAGAGTGGCTCTCACTCTACTGTGGTGTCCAGGGCCTCCGAGGGCAGCTTAGGCCCTGGTGTGCTCACAGTGCACCGTGCAAGGTGGCCGTGGGAGGGAGATGGGGACTGCCCAGGGCTGTCAGTCAGCAGTCAGCCAGGGGGTAAGAGCTGTGTTCATCCCACACAGCCCCTCCTAGCACCCCATGGAAACCAGGCATGCTGTTGGCTTTGGCCTCCCACACAGGAGCGGAGGAAGACTCCTGAAGGCAGGGGCTTGTCCTCTTAGGTACCACAGAATCCCAGCTGCCTGGCGCCCAGCAGGTGCCCAGCTAACGGGTGGTAAAGAATGAAGAGTGTTGCTAGTGGTGACTGAGTGAATGTGGATGCAGAAGAGAGTCACCTGTAAGTCTAACTGTCCCTAGATGTCCCTAACCCCTGTTGTAGGTGATGGCCTGTTGGTGTGACAATGACATGCGTGACAGACAGACACAGTGGCCATGAAATGGTGATTTTGAGCAACTGAAAATGTGAAACTAGAGTACATAGTTATGTGCAATGGTGACCTGCAGCAGGACTCTTGAGTGACAGGCAGAAATAGTGATCAGTGACAGTGACCAGGGACCTAAGCAAGCAGTAAGCAGAAGTCTAGGACCTACGGGATGTAGTTCACCTAATAGTACGGCAGCCTTGGAGGGACAGGAAGGCTACATGTGAGACAGGAAAGATAGACAAGCAGCCAGAAGATTGGGACTCGGCTGGTTTCATGGGAGCAGGGGGCAGCATTACTCCCAGGGTGGCTGGGAGGATGCCCAAGGTGGAGTTCAGCCTGGGGAGCCAGACTCTCAGGCTGCCAGGGCCGAGGCCCCAACCCAGGTCACCAGTGTTCACCATCTTTCAACTGGTTTCTGGGGGAGATGGGAGGAAGGGATGCTTAAGAGGTGGGGGGTTCCCTCTCTCCCCAATACCCTCTTCTTTCATCCAGGCTGTCTCTTTCTCCTCAGGGGACGGCTCCCTCCCCAGGGCGAGGTCCCCAGTCCCACAAGACCCCCACTCGTGTACTTTACCTCTCCCTGTACGACTCCTTTCTACCACATCCTGTGGTTGGGAACCCCCCTGCACCCCCGTGTCCTCTCCTCCTTCCAGGAAGCTCCCTTCTCTTCCTGGGGTGCCCCCTCTACTCAGGGCCCCCTTTCTCTCTGGGTGCCCCATTCTCATCTAGGGTCCCTTTCTCACCTTTCCTCCTTTCCCAAGGTGCCCTCTTCCCCCAGCGCCTCCCTGCTGTCCTCCTCTTCTCTGCCCTGGGTCACCCACCCCCACTCCCTTCCTCCTCCAGACACCCCCTTCTCCCTCACAGTGCCCCCTCCTTCCCCTGACTTCCCCTTTCTCCCTCCAGGCGCCCCCCCCCTTCCAGTGCCCTTTATTCTCCCCCAGGTGCGTCCTTCCAGGAAGGGGGAGGGGCACTGCCTGCTGGAGGAGGACAGGGGGGCCTGGCCAGGGGGAGGGGAGGGGTCTTAGGCAGACCCATGATGGGTGTCAGAGACCCCCCTCACCCACAGAATCTGCCGCTCTCCTCCCTCTGGACGGCCTGGCCACAGTTGCCCTGCCCCCTGGGTGATCTCACCTGCTGGGCTGGTGGCCGCTCCCTCAGTTCTGCTGGCCTCTGCTCTGGGACTCCATGCCCTCCACCTGGGCTAGCAGCAACCCCTCTCCACCCGGTCGGTGCCCCTCGGCCCAGGCCTACCTGCTGGAAGTGCTCCCACCTCCTCCCTGCCTGTGGGCAGTGCTGGTCTGGCAAGGGGCCAGGCTCTGCCCACTGCCCCACCTCCCCCACGGTAACTCAATCCCAGCTCCCGCCCTGCAGGACACACCCGACCACTCAGTCCTCAGAGGGCTGGGCATTCAAACTTAATCAGTTAGTCAGTCCACAAATATTGACCGAGTTGTCTGGGAGCCAACCCCCTCCCCAAGGCCTGGCAGACTCACCTCCTGGGTACCAGGGGCCTGAGAAAGTAGGGGAATGGAGACCTAGACCTAGACCTCAGAGCTAGGCTGAGAGGTGGAATATACTGTGATTTCCTTCTCTGGAGCCCAGATGGGCTCCTCTTGGGCTAGGACACTGAAGCAAACTTTAGAAGGAAATAGAACTTAGGCCAGGAGTGGTGGGTTAGGTTCTGTGAGATCCAGGTCACTGCGGGAGATGGGGCAGGGGGCCACAGCTCCCTCTAGGTATCTCTGTTCTCTCCACCCCCATCTCTGAATTTGGGCTGGCTGCCCGGCACAGCCCTCCCCAGGGAATCTGATACCCATCGTGGGAGAGGCCATTCCAGCCCGTGCAGAGAAGTCGGCTCTCCCATACCTCAGGCCACACCTCCCCTGCTTTCCCACTGATGGTGGGGTGCAGGAGGTGCTGGAAATAG